TATATATTCAACTTCAACAAAATAATTATTTTATTTTATTTTGAAACCTTGTTTGTCCCATTTTGTTCAGAATACATTTTTCTTTCTCTTATTTTCGATCAAACATTCTTTAATAAAATAATATTACACGTAAATTCAAAATTTTTATTATTTTTAACTACACATTCTCCATTAAATCACTATTCCAAAATGCATATTTTTTTTTTTAGCAAAAAATGACATCAAACAAGCCCTTAATATTTTATTATGGTCGCCCGTGCTGGCTCAACATCCTAGATTCGTCCCTGGCCGCAGTACAGCTCGATGTACAAAGGCTACAACGTATAAAGCAGGTAACTTGAAATATGATGTCTCCTTCGCTTCCCTATAAATTCAGCAGTCCTTTTTGTATTCTTTGCAACAAAACTTCTACTGTTTTCCTCTTGTAATTACATTGCAGTAATTGTCCGAAAATTTTCAGAAATACAATGGCCAAAATTCAGAAACTGAGGTTCATAATAGAAGTTTTTATTGTCTAGTTAGGTAAAGATATACGTAATCTTTAAAAATCACACAATTGGATTGTGCATTAGAGATCTCTTTTAAAAATGATGGATTATCCCGTTCTCCAAGAGATTCTATTTATTTTTTACAAATAAGGAATATATTTAGGAAAACTTACACGTCTTGCCCTACAAGGTGACTTGGGATTGGATGGAGAACAAGAATTTTGTATTTAATTAGAGCCTTGCTACAGCAACAGGACTGATGACAGGGGGTTGAGATATCGCGACTGGGGCCCTTGATCTGATCAAAACCCCAGATCAAGGGCTGAGGTGGTGCCACCTCGACCCCTGTCCCAAATCCTGTTATGAGGCCCTGTTGCTTTAGCAAAAACCATTTAATTATTTGTTTTTGAAAATAAGGATAATATTGTCTTTTCAATAAAATTTTAGCCACAATTAAAGACATGGGTAAAATCTTACAATGCGTACTTAAGTGCTACTAAAATAAAGATTTTCAATGTAAGTGCTACAATTTGAAGATTTGGGGATCTATCCTGCTATTTTCTTAAAAAGGATTTTTTATTTTTATTTTTATTAATTTTTTAAGGCACAGCTAAAACATGTTCTGTCACTGTTGCGCGCCAGTTACGACCGGACGACGACCGTAAACCTCTTAAGTTATTCTGGTCTTTATTATTGCCTGCCCTCTATCAATGGATCCTCAACCTGAACCAGTCATCTAGATCTGTGGAGGTACTTGTTAACATACATGGATACAAATTTGAGTGTCTTTTTTTTATCTGATTGAATTATGTTGAAATGGGTTTGCATATTGCAGCCAAGAGAACACGCTGAAGCCAGATGATGTAATTCAGCTCCGCAAGTGCGGTTATCGTATCCTCTACAAGAAATGTATCTGAAGAAGTAAATTTTCAGCACCCTTTTATATGCCCTCTTTGAAATATAATATAGTTTTATGATTTTCTTCTTCCTTTTATGATGGATTGAATCCTGAAAGATTCTTGGTTTAGTATGAAATTGTTTTGGGCTTGAATTATTGGTTCACTTGTTTAATTTTGCAAACGTATACTCAAGTTGATGTATTTTAATGATTTTCTTTTAGCAACGATAAAGGAAAAAATAATCTTTGTTAGATTTTGTTTCAAAGGTTTAAATCTTATTGCTAAATTAAAAATTCTCAGTGCTTGGTTGGCTGGAAAAAGAGTATTGGTTTGTCCATGAAGAGTTGGAGAAGTGCTAATATTTGATAAAATTGGATTTTCAGCGAGTTTTAATATAGCATTCTTGATCTTTGCCAGGAGAATGATGTTTGTAACAAATTTAGTTGTATGGGAGGATGATGTTCATAACTTGTGATGGACATCTAGAACTGTCAATAGGAAGTGAAAGTTGCAGAGAGTTCTCGTTGCACAGAGAAAATGGGTCTTAATGGATATTTATATCTTGGTATGTAGAGAAATAGAGATGACGGGGCTAATTCTTTTAGTTTTATCTTGGTGAAGATGCTTGAAGGGCGTGTTAAATACTGAAGCCAGTTGCTCTGTAGAATAACATGTTATTTTCTTAAATCCCTTCTTCATTTGTTAACTTGTACGTATTTAAGTTATTGGGAGCTAAATGTTGTATTTGCCTAATGTCTTGGGGTAAATTAGGGTCCAAGCCCAATAAATAATTTAATAAAAGAACCTACAGAAAATTGTAATTAAAATAAGGAATCAATGTTGCAATTTCAACTGAATCCTTAAATCACCAAATATGACAATGATTTTACATGCGGCGAAATTTAGCAAAAGATAAATAAGAAGATTCCCACTAAAACTTTTAATTGATGCTTCATATTTTGGATGAATTGAGAAGCAGTGTTTCATGAGAGTGTATGAAAGAGAGAACCCAATTCAGCAACATACAGTGAACAAAAATCCGATAGCAATAGGGGAAATTGCTTAATCACAAAAGTTTGCGCTTCCAATAGCCTTAAAATTTGGACACCAGTTTCACATTTACAAACCATTGTTCTTCATATTCAACGATAAAGATTGAGATCCAACAGTTCATTTTCTGGAATCATTATTTGAACAGTGGTGAATTTTGCATAGGTGTATTCTCTTTGCTGTTTTCTAGTTGTATTGCCAAGAATTTTTCTTGAGTTGTTGTGTACCTCT